TACAGTCTTAAAGAGTGAAGTTATATCATATGAAGAAAAATGAATAAAATCTGATAACATGTTAAGAAAGCAAGCCAGATTCAGAAAGATAAGAGTTGCATGTTTCCCTGATACATAAAATTTTAGAATAGATGAATTGAAAATAGAATTATTAAATGAAAGGAAAGTAATAAGATCAGACTCATAGTGATTCTCCTGTTTTCAGCTTCCCAAGAGCTGGGATTACAGGCATACATCACCATGTGCAGTCTCAATTGCTGTCTCAGCTTGCGCCAGGGGCAGGGCCAGTACAGAACTTCGAGGATTGAACCTGGGCTGCTGCACTCTGCCTAAGCAGGTGCTTTAGTCTGCTGAGCTATCTGGCTGGCCCTAATTTCTTAATAGCCATTATTTTTGGAGAGAGGTGGAATGTCAATGTTATTTTTAATTTGTATTTCTCAAATGACCAGTGATGTTGTTTAATGTATTTATTTTCTGTTTGTACTTTTTCATCTGAGAAACATCTACTCATTTGAGATGCCCATTTTTGAATTGGATCTGTAAATTTGAGAAGTCTTATTTTTTTGAGCTGAGTTTTTATGTATTCTAGATGTTAGTCCTTTGTCTGAAGTATATCTGTTAAATTTCTTTTCTCATTCTATGGGATGTCACTTCATTCTATGAGTGGTTTCTTTTGCTTGCAAAAGCTTTTTAATTAGATGTGGTCCTAGTTGTTGATTCTTTGTTATAGTTCCTGCGCAATCAGTGTTCTGTTCATAAGGTCTGATATAGGCAATATACCAATGTCTTAAAGAGTTTTAATCTATTCTATCTTCCAGCAAATTAAGTGTTTCTGTTTTTATATTTAGATGTTTTTTTCTATTTTGATGTTAGTTTAGTGTAAGATCTAGGTTCGGTCTAGGTCTAGGTTCAATTTTGGGCATGTGGAAAGCCAGTTTTCCCAGTACTATTTATTAAAGAGGCTATCTTTCTTCCAGTGAAGCTGTTTGGGACTTTTGTCAAAGTGAAGGTAGCTGAATGTGTTTGGAATTGTTCACACATCTTTTTTTTTTCACTGATTCTTGAGTTTTGTTTTGTTTGTTTTGTTTTTGTGTTTTGCCAGTACCATGCTGTTTTTATCACAACAGATTTGTAGTATAACTTCCAATTGGGGATTGTGATGTCCTCTATCTTGCCTTTTTTGCTCCGAATTAGTTTTACCATTCTAGGTCTCTTCTGGTCATATGAACTTTAGAATTGTTTTCTTGGAGCTGGCCAAATAGCTCAGCAGATTAAAGCACTGCAAGCAGGCGCAGGGGCCAGGGGTTCAGTCCCTGGGCATACCGTGCCAGCCCCGACCCCGGACGCGCTGAGACAGCAATTGAGACTGGGCACAGTGGCATGTGCCTGTAATCCCAGCTCTTGGGAGGCTGTAAACAGGTGGATCACTATAAGTCTGATCTAGTAGTAAGACCCTGAATACCCTGTAGACCTTTCCCTAAAAATACAAAAAAAAAAATTTATTTTTTTATTTTTTTATTTTTATTTTTTTTTGTGGAACTGGGGATTGAACTCAGGCCCTTGCGCTTTCCGGGCAAGTGCTTATTCTACTGAGCTATCTCTCCAGCCCCAAGAATTGTTTTCTCTACTTCTATCAGATATATGATTGTTATGATTGGGATTGTATTGAATCTGCATAACAATTTGAAAGTATGGCTATTTTAACTGTATTGGCTCTGCTGATCTAAGAACAAGGGATATCTTTTCATTTTCTGTTATCCTCTTCAATGTCCTTTTTTCAGAGTACTCTAGTTTTCAGTGTATAGGTCTTTTACTTCCTTTGTTAAATTGATTTCTAAGAATATCATTTTTCTTGATACTGTTGTGAAAGGCATGCTTTCAGTGAATTTGTTATTGATTTACAAGAATGCTATGATTTTTGTGGGTTAACTTTATATCCTGTCTTGTTGCTGAATTTGGTATAATAACCAGTATTTTGATGAATTTCTTTGATCTTCTATGTAGGGCATCATGTCATCAGCAAATAATTTAATGTCTTCCTTTCATATCCTTATTACTTTTCTTTCTCTCACCTAGTTACTCTAGCTAGTGTTTCTACAACTGTATTGAAAGGAATGGTGATAGTGGGCATTCTTGTCTTATTTTAGAGTACCATGTTTCAGTTTTTGACCATTAGTATGAGGTTGCACCACTGTTGGTTTGCTGTAAATGGCTTTTATCAGATGAGAAAAGACCTCCTATTCCAATTTTCTGTACTTTTTTTTCATGAATAGGTAGTGAACTTTGTCAAGTGCTTTTCCTGCATCTATTGAAATAATCATGTGGTTTTTGTCCTTGGTTCTGTTAATATAGTATATTACATTTATTGATTTGCATATGTTGGCTCATCCCTGAGTCTGAGGGGTGAATCCTCCTTCATCATAATGTATGATCTTCTTGATGGTTTGCTGCATCTGTTTGCCAATACCTTCTGGAGCATTTTTATGTCTCCCTTCATGAAGGAGATTGACCTATAATTAGTTTGCTTTTTCTGGCTGGATCCTTCTCTAGCTTTTGTAGCAGGGTAATACCTGCTTCCAGGAATGACTTTGTAGTATAACTTCCAATTGGAGATTGAGTTGCCCTCTATCTTGCCTTTGTTGCTCCGAATTACTTTTACTATTCTAGGTCTCTTCTGGTTTCATACGAACTTTGGAATTGTTTTCTCTACTTCTGTGAGATATATGATTGTTGTGATTGGGATGGTATTAAATCAACATAACAATTTGAAAGTATGGGTATTTTATTGGCTCTGCTGATCTAAGAACAGGGGATATCTTTTCATTCATGTTTGTTTGAGCTGGCTCTGTTTTAGTGATATGGGTATTCACTGCTATGAATTTCCCTTGTAGTACTGCTTTTGTTGTTTCTCATAAGTTCCAGTATCTTGTAACATAATTATTAGAAGCTGTCTAATTTCTTTAGTTTCATCTGTGACCCATTGGTTGTTCAGGAGTGTATTGTTTAATTTCTATTTTTTTATGAAGTTCTTGTAGTTTCTTTTGCCATTGATTTCCAATTTCATTGCACTGTGTTTTTATTATATGCATGGGATAATTTCAATTCCTTTTCATTTTAAGCATATTCTATGAGCTACTTTGAGTTCTATTTTGGAAAGAGTTCTGTATGCTTCTGAAAAGAAAGTGTATTCTGTTGTTGGGTTGAACACTGTGGATATCACCTAAGACTGTTTGTTTGAAGTTTTCGTTAAGGAGCTAATTCGGTTCAACAGTTAATTCTCAACTGTCATTTTTAGATTGTGTTTGCTGGTTTCTGTATCATTTCAACTTTTAAATGAGCAGTTTTAAAATCTATGTTTATTTTATGTCCTTATTCAGATAACAAGAAAGAAACTACTTGAAGTCTAACCACCATGGATAGCACAGAGGAGAAGACTAATGATTACAAAGATGATCTTCTGCTTAGGATGGGACTTAATGATAATAAAGCAGGAATGGAAGGATTAGATAAGGAGAAAATTAATAAAATTATAATGGAAGCCACAAAGGTATGTTTCTTGTTTCTTTCAATATCTGTAATTTTATTACTTTTAAACATTCTTGTTTGTTTGTTTGTTTGTTTTCCCGTGATTTATTTAATTTGTATTTCAATTTTATGTCCAACCCTGAACCCAAGATTGAACAAGCCCTTCCTCTCATCATAATATTTGTCTAATATACATTTACTTCACTTGCACTTGTTCCTAAAACAACACATACACCGGATATAAATTATTTTTAATTAAATAAGTGTATTTTGTAAGATATAATCTTTGGGATTACTTTTCTTTTTTAAAAAATTAATTTTATTGAGAAATGGGCAATGGGACAGTTTCAAAACCGATTAATAGGACAGTTTCAATAATTAATACATTGCATATTGTTGTCTTTGTAGTGGTTATTCATAGTACAAGATGCAGACATGGTATCCTGTCCAAACATTCTGTTTAAAAGAAAATCATAAACTTTGGAAATCCTTTTTACTAAAAATTTTAACATATAATGTTGCTAAAATATGAAAAAGTATGGCACAATCTCCCTTTTAATTTTTTGCCCTTGGTATCCCATGCTCCACTTCATATGCATATAATATGTGTATGAAATCAAATTAATGTACATGTCCTTCTTTGCTCATTTTTTTTTCTAACCCCTAAGTAGCTTTATTTTTGCAGTGCTGAGGATAGAATCTGAGAGCTTGCACACTCCACAAGAAGTGACAAAGTGTGTCCACACAGAAACTTACATGAACGTTCATAGCATTTTTTTCATGACAGCCAAAAAGTAAAAATAACCTAGTGTGTATCAACATGATGTCTGCACAGACGCTATCTTTAGTGGTGAAGTTATAGGCAATATACAAAGTACCTTCTGCATTTTTCATTGATTTAATGTAAAGCGTTTGAATATATATACATATATATATATACATATATATATATATACATATATACATATATGTATATATTTATATGAATGATGGTTCTGAGACTTGATCTCAACTGAGCTATACTCCTACCTCATTTTTATTTTTTATTTTGAGATGGGGTCTTGCTAAGTAGCTAAGTTGCCCAGACTTGGCTTGAACTTAACAATCCTCCATCTTGGGGCCGGGGAGATAGCTCAGTAGCATAAGCGCTTGCCTGCCAAGTACAAGGGCCCGAGTTCAATCCCTGGTTCCGCCAAAAAAACCAAAACAATGTTCCACCTTAACCTCCAAGAGTCCTACGATTACAGCATGTACACGACTGTGAAATGCCTTGTTAAGGAGAAAGCATTAGTGGAGGAGATAACCAATGCCTCAACCTACTAAAGCCCTGCATGTGCTCCAAGGATAATACCTAGAACAGTCTGTTCTTTTCGGAAAACAGAACTGTAATCAGAAAGCTTGTGCTCAGCACTATTGCGCAATGCTATGATTTAGGTAACTATTAGGAAATACATTTTACAGATAAAGAAACTGCTACATAGAAGGAGTAGAAATTGTGTCACCCAGCTGGTAAAGCTAAGGTTTGATTTCAGTCAGTCTGATTCCAAAATCTATCTGCTTATCCACCGGGTTATACTACAGGTGCTTATTTCTTCAGACATTTTCCTATGCTTTGTTTTCTCCTTAGGGGTCCAGATTTTATGGAAATGAGCTCAAGAAGGAAAAGCAAGTCAATAAACGGATTGAAAATATGATGCAACAAAAAGCACAGATTACCAGCCAGCAGCTAAGGGAAGCACAATTGCAGGTATGAGTTCAGTTGTTAGCGAGGAAGGTAGGAATATGGTACTTGACAGCTGAAATGCATTATCAAGTCATAACTGCAATCAAGATGAAATGTAAATGTTCATTTTGTTTTAAAATGTACACAACAGCAAATGCACATACTTTTGTATTAATCTTATTTATATAAAATTCTGCAATTAGACATTGTTACCTCCATTCTATAGAAGTAGAATGTTTTTGTTTTGAGACGTTTTGCTATGTCTCAAATTTTGAGGATTTTGCTGTGTAGTTCAGGATGACCCTGAACTCACTGTGTGCCCCAGGTTGACCTCGAACTTGGGGAGATTCTCCTGTGTCAGCTTCCTTAACAATGAAGTTCTAATTAAGTAACTTGCCCAGTTTCATAGAAGAAGTATTTGGTAGAGCTAGGATTCAACACAAAGCATATATTCATTCAGATAGATAGATAGATAGGGGCCAGGGAGGTGGCTCAGTGCTTGCCTGGCAAGTGCAAAGGGCCTGAGTTCAATCCCCAGTTCCGCCAAAAGCAAAAATAAAAACAGTTAGATAAATAGATAAATAGATAGATAGATAGATAGAGCCAAAAAATATATACACAGCTTAGGAAAAAGAAAAACTTGTAAAGATGTTTTATTTATTTATTTATTTATTAACTTATTTTTTATGTATTTAGTAGACGGCCTGTAGGGTCTCACTGCACAGATCAGACTCCTAGCAATCCTCCTGTTTTTAGCCTCCCAAGCACTGGGATTACACCACTGCCAGTCTCAATCCCCTTCTCAACATGCTCCAGGGGCGAGGCTGGCACTCTGGGAATTAAACCCCGGCTGCTGTGCTCTGCCTAAACAGGCACTTTAGTCCGCTGAGCTTACTGGCCAGCCCTAATATTTTAATACTAAATTTGTTTGGGTTTTTTTTCTATTTGTCCTTTATTTCTTCCTTTTGTCTGCAGTGAAGAATGAAAAAAATGATATTGAATATGTCACAGATGGAATTGAACATTGTAAGAACAAAATTTAAAGTTCACACTAAGAAAATCAATTAAAGACAACTGAAGTTCAAATATACCCAACACAAAAACATTTTCATTCAGATAGCTAAGTGATATACATTGATTATTCTATCGTAGACGATGTCAGAGTCATCTATTATCTGTGGTTTCACTGTAGTCTTTGTACTTCCTTTTTATAAGTGTATTTGATGATCTGAGAACCTATAACACTTTATCCAAGGAGCACACAGCGTGGTAAGATAGGGAGAGATAATCTTACAGTTTCCTATTTCATTTCTTTATTTAGGGTTTTTTTTTTTTTTTTGTGGAACCGGGGATTGAACTCAGGCCCTTGGACTTGCCAGGGAAGCACTTATTCCACTGAGCCATCTCCCCGGCCCCAATTTCTTGGTATCATATAAGATGTGACTTCTCATGCTAAATCTAAATAAGTTTTCTATTTTAGTCTAAATTTGTTGAGACATCATGAAGTTGATACAAGTTACCTTTGGCCTCTTTAATTACAAGAAGTGCTTGAAGTGGTGGCCATGAGCTTCCAGACATTTATTAGCATAGCAGCCTGTTGCTTGATCATTGACATGGCCATACAACTGCTTCCAGTTTCTTCTCCGAGGACCAAGACTCTAGTGGGTTTTCTATACTATACAACATCCTCTAGCGTCCCCCAGACAAAGGTAACACCATCTGTTGACAAAGCAACATACTGTTTTTCTTTTCCATGTTGTGTAGGTGGGTATACATTTTTTGGTTCTCTCTCTCTCTCTCTCTCTCTCTCTCTCTCTCTCTCT